GGGGGTTTTCGTCGGGGCAAGCGGTCGTCGGAAACCTGGGCGCCGCATTCCGGGGCTACTCGGACGCGGTCTCGATTCTGGACGGCAAAAAAGGGAGTTTCGCTGCGTTGTCGAGCGGAGACAACGGAACAGCGGAACGGGAAGCGCGACGGCAGAGCAAGGCGTCCCTCAAGTTCGCCCGCTTCTGCAACGACGTCCTCCAGCTCGCGACGGGGGAGGCGGACCAGACTCAAACCAACTCAACCGCCCTCCCCCCCGAAATGACATCCGCCTTGGCGGGGGGCACGGATTCAGGCCTTCCCCCGGTCTCACAGTACCCCCCCTTGGTGGTCAAACACGTGCTGCGCGCCCTCAGCCTTGACGCATCGCTCAAACCGCACCAGTTAGTCCCCAGGGTTTTGGCGCTCGTGGGCCAAAACAAAGAGACGCTCGCGGAGTTCGAAAGTGGCGTCGAATCGGTCCCGAGCTGGGTGTTCATCTCATGGGTGTCGCAGATCCTGTCGGTCATGGAGCAGCCCGAGGGGCGTGTGCTCGCGCGCGTCCTGGAGCGGGTCGCGGAGGAGTTCCCGCAGGCCCTGTACTATCCGTTCAACGGTGAGACGCTGGCGACGAGACGCTTGTTTCCGGTTTTAGTGGGCTGATGGTTTGTCCTCTTGTAAATAGATCCTTTCGTCCCTGTCTCTTCGTGGCTTTCTCTCGTCAAAAGTCAAGAACATTCTGGTCGAAGACAAGTAAGAGCGTGGAGACTGGAGTTTCCTGTCGCGTTTTCTGAGCGGACGGCTGCCGTGCGTTCTGCCTGGAAGTGACGTTTGCCCGAAGTCACGAAGGCATTCTGAGGCGCTTGTTTCGGACTCAAGTCCAGTCATCGCCAACATCCCTCTGCTTTATGCTCCTGTCTGGACTGCAGCTTCTAAAGCAGCACGACCACTGAGAAGCTTTCACCCCCGTACCGACTTCCGTTGGCACACACGCCAGACCCAACTCAGTGACTCCTGAGATTGAGCAGTCACTCCAAGCACAGTCATTCATCGGCTCACTCAACCTTCCGCAGTGAGCCAGCCCGCTTTCGGCGACGTGGCAAGAGAACGCACTTCCCGCGTCGCCCGGTTGCTGCACAACCCGCTCCTGGACCAGTTCGTGACCGCGCTGAGCGATTTGTCGCATCCCAACCTGAAGCTTAAGGACTGGCTCAGCGAGATCAGCATGCGCCTCCAGCGGCGGGACAACCAGGGGGCGCAGGAAGCGTTCCGAGAGATGTACAGGTGAGCGCAAAATCTGATCGCCGAAGCGCGACCGCCCAAACCATCGGGGTCTGGTCACTTTGTTGCTGCCTGCAAGTCACCGCAAAAAGACGAGACAATATGGATCGCCTTCTACCTTGCTAAGCATCCCTTGTTGAGATCAGGACACAATCATTGGCGTAAATGCTTGAGGGAAGGGAGAACTTGAACTCAAAGGAGCAGATTGGTCCAATCACTATTCAGAGAAGGGCATCTGGCGTTGTGAGTCTTTCCTGTGTTCTCGATACGAAAGGCGTTTGTGATATGGTAGCTTATTTTAGGGTACAGCAGCTGATGGAGTTCACGAGCAATAGACGTCCTTTCGTTTCTTCTTTTTGCGGTACAGTGATTAATCAAGAGCAGGATGACAATATCCTGACGTTTATTACCAACACCAGCAATGCTGTTCCAAAAAGATCATTTGTTTCACCAACCTGATCCAGCACCTATGGGCAAAAACCCGCAGTGTAAGGCTCTCCGTTGCGTCAGACGGTCGTTGTAGAGATACTAGAATGAAAGACCTGTCAGGAGTCCACCGCAAAAAAAGGATACCGACGTCCGGGGTTCCTGTTTGTCGACCACCAATCTCTTCTTTTCACACGAAAGGATCGTCATGCGACATTGAGCCATTCAGCAGAAGCCCAAAATCTCAAAGAGTCACCGTCGTCCGTAACAATTCCCTCACTGAACGACTCTTTCTCATGCTATCCGCGCAGGGACTGCCTGGACGCGCGCGCGCTCGCGGCCGCGGAGCGCCAGGCCGGCGACGACCTCATCGCCTACGCGCGCAACTTCGAGTCCAAGATCGTCAGCGCCCTCGGGAAAGATGGCGTAAAGCTCGCGCGCATGTCCGCGACAGAGTACAAAAACGCGATATCCAGCGTGTCACACGTGCTCGACAGAGAGGACCTGGCTCACGGCAAGATGCAGCTCTCCCGCTTCTCCAAGTGGCTCGCGGACTACGACCAGTCGCGCGGCGCCGCGCCGCCACGTGGCGCGCGCGGGAAGCTGCCACGTGGCACCATCTCGGACTTCACCGAGAGCGACGCGGGGGGCATTGAAGTGCCCGGGCAGTACGGCGGATTTTGCCGGCCGGACCCCGGGTCTCACGTAACCATCGTCGGGTTTGACCAAACCCTGACGTGTTTCTCGTCGATCCGGCGCCCGAAGGTGCTGATCATTAGGGGGAGCGATGAGAAAGAGTATCGGTTTGTGGTGAAAGGCGGCGAGGATCTGCGGCTGGATCAGCGGATTGAGCAGCTGTTTGAGGTGATGAACAACGCTCTCCGCGTGGATCCGATGTGCGCGCGGCGGAGGCTAGGCGTGCGGACGTACGGGTGAGCACAAAGTGTCCGGAAGAGATGGTGTCTGAAAGGCTGGTCCAAAATCTTTCGTGGAGTGTCTGACGTGATCGTTCCAGCACAAACCGCTTTAGCTGTCGTTGCGTACGACAGAGTATGCAAACGCAGGAGGCGCGAGCAAAGCATCCAAAGGGTTGAAAGGCAAAGCTTTGCGGAAGGGAGTTTAAGGAGAGCCCGCGCTTCTTTCTCATGCTGTTTGGGTGATGCTTGCAATCCTGCTGACGTCTCCTGAGACTTTTGCAAAGCGCTTGCTCTTGATAAAGTCAAATGATGTTACTACCCGCGGAACCGCCTGCCAACTTTGCAACAGGCCAACCACAGCCTGCACTTAGCGAACGGCGTTGGGTGCTGGGTGTATTGGAGCGCTGTCGGGTGGTAAAATGCCTAGGCTTTGGAACGCGTCTGAGTTGAGTTGGGTCGACTCGTAGCTTCTTCCCCCCTCCTCGCAAAGAAACATATGATGGGTAATTAATAGAACGTACCTGGTGCCGTGGCTTAACTAGAAGAGCTCCCCCCTCCTCGCAGAGAAACATACCTATGATGGATACTGACAAGAACGTACTTGGTGCAGTGGCTTGACTAAAAGAGCGCTAATTGAGAATCATGACGCGCTTTGCACCAAAACCCACTCTTAACTCCCATACCAACCCCACCCGTCCCCCGGTCGTGCCTTCTGATTATCAGATCCTGACACTAACGAATGTAACAACAGTATCTAATTAATCAGTATTTAGTGGTTTTCGATTGAATCTATTTGCAGAGCCATCCCCGTCAGCTCCCGGTGCGGCCTGCTCGAGTTCGTCTCCCCAACGCGCACCATCCATGACGTCATCGCCAGCGGCCTCGCCGCGTCGCTGAACCTCCAAACCCCGGACGGCGCCAAGACGCTCCTCTCAGACGTCCAAAAGGGCTGGCAGCAGTGGCTGACGTCACACACCGGGGCGGTGTCGTCACTCCAAGAGGCGTACCAGAAGAGCTACACGTCGCTCTCACGTCAGAGCTTCGAGGCGCAACTAGGGGTGGCGGGAGGGAAGCTACCAAGCGATGCGTTGCGGGCGGGGATCGCCCAGCAGGCGCCCGGCGCGGAGAGCTTCCTGGCGCTCCGGGGGCAGTTCGCGCGCAGCCTGGCGGCCCTCAGCATTTGCGGGTAGGGACGCCGATAATCCGCAGAGCATTGAAACAATCTCGAGATATTGAGGTTTGGAATGCTAGGGTCCGTGCCGCAATGTGGGGTTTTGTGTCCGAGTCGCGTGTGGCGTATCTCGGCTGACTTTGATTTTGAAGAGGGCTTTGGTTTTGCAGAAAAATAGTTTGGGGTGGGCGACTGCTATAGCATAAGCTGCTGCTGGATGTTGCCGGCAGCTTGCTGACAAAAGCAAGAGTCAGAAATTAGCGAAAATCGAAACGGATTGAAAGTAACACATGGCAAGATAATTGAGGATATGTCTCTTTTTCGAATGTCCGCAAGAACACACTCTCCCCGCCGTCCAAGAGATGAAAGCCTTTCTTCTCTTAGGTACGTAGCCGGAGTCGGCGACCGCCACCTGCAGAACTTCCTGCTGGACGTCGCCGACGGCACGCTGGTGCCCATCGACTTCGGCTACAGCTTCGGCACCGCCACGCAGATGCTTCCGGTTCCGGAGCTGGTGCCGTTCCGCCTCACGCGCCAATTCGCGCAGCTGCTGAGGCCGCTGGACACGCTGGACCTGCTCAAGATCGACATGACACGTGTCATGACCGTGCTGCAGGCAAGAGTTCCGTTGCACGGCTCTCAATACCGTTATCTCAGGATTGAGTCTTTGAGCCGTATGCCGAGAACCGTTGGGAAGAAGCGCACGGCACACTATGATCCAGTGTTGAGTTCTCACTTTTCTTAGTCACAAGGGCCCTGTTCCGACATGTCAGCAGATGTCGTTTGGAGTTTGGACCAGGTTCTATAGCTCGTAATACCTGTATGACAAAATTGCGTTATTTGTGCTGCTATTCAAAGGAGACAGGAGAGCGCTCCACCCGGGTGGCGAGGGCGCAAAAGCTTTGTGTCCACAATCATAACCATGCAACTCTCAAAAACGAAGTCGCGAAAATGCTAAAACCCCAAACAGAGAAAATAAGAGCTGCTGGTCCACATCCCTACAGCCGTTAGATCCTCAAACAAAGAAATGCTAGCCAAAAATCTTCAATCTCAGTTCTATTGACGTTTCCAGGAGAACAAGGACGTCCTGGTCGCGGTGATGGACGTGTTTGTAAAGGAGCCCTTAGTGGACTGGCGCAACGAGTCGCTCAAGCGGCGGGCAGCCCTCGGGGCGAAAGGTCGCAAGGGGGCGGTCGCCGCGCTAAGAGACGGCGACGAAGACGAGCAGATGGAGGTCCTGGAGCAGGTGCGCTTTCCCAAGTTTTTCTTTTTGCATCCATTCGATTGACTATATCTGTAAGTTTGTCTACCAAATCCGAAAAACTCGAGTCTTTCAGATGGAGAATATTAGCATGGATTTGAAGAATCCAGCGATCTTTTCTTTTCCGATTTCGTCCGTCTATTCAATGTCGTGCGAAGGAGCCACTTTGAACGGAGGGATTAACAACAGCTGGTTCCGCAATAGCAAGTCTGGTGGAGCGGACTCGGTCGATTTGGCAGCGCCTCAGTTTTCCTTCCGGCCCATGCCGATCTGCCCATTGGAGGAGCAACCTGCCGCACTCTCTTCGCGATCTGAGCCCATCACGAGAACTGTCCCTCGATTGCGCGGGTTTGCAATTTGGATTGCACAGTAGACTGCTCTCGAACAGAATACGTCGTGGGGTCTCTAGTCGACGCTTTGTTGGACGTGCCATTTTAGTCTTTTCCTCGGCGGAGCCGTTTTAGCGTCCTCCTTCGAGAGCTTTAGCCCAAGTCCTTCACCAGGACTTAACTCAGTCGCCTGTCTACAACGGAACGGAAAACTGCGATGCTGCGTTCCGGCACAGCGCGGACTCTGATAAAATCGTCGAGGCTGTGTGATTGGCTGCAAAAACTCTCGGTTGCTGCGAAGGAAAGTCGTCAGAAGAAGACGTCGCGACGCGTTACGTTCGACCAAACGTTTTCCCTGATCGTTCCAGGAACACGTGAGCCTAAAGATCGAGAACGCCGCCCGCAAGCTGGCCCGTTGGAATCCGGCGGAAGTGACCCTAGCGGAACTGCAGCAGTCCATGGTCAACGGAAAGCCCTTCTTCCGCTCCTTGGAGGGAATCGTACGGGGGGACCCCCGAGTGAATGCTCGGGCAAAAGTCGACGGAAAGGTGGGTTCAAGCTGACTGAACATAAAGTCGTGGTGTATTTCCAACACTTCTGGTATGACGCCACTGGGGAAGAGGACGGGTGAAGAAAAGCCCCGCATCACCGAAGGCGCGTTATGCTGGTTGACGGAAGTAGGTGCGAGCAACGATGCGCGGGATGCTCGATGACATAAGGGTTTGGTTATGTCAGCTCGTAAACTTAACTTTCAAAGGGTCAATTGTATTGTCGACGGAGTACGGGAGTATGGATGCTGCATAGTGGAAAGCTTCCGCCTGTCAAGAATCGCGCAGCACCCAATGCTTTGTAACCACTCATCTCCCAAGTCGAATCACGGTCATCTTTCGTTTCGACTGTATTGGGTCTCACTTTAAAGCTGTCGACCGTTAAGCGTAACCGAGAGACATTACGGCTGACGAGCTCATTGGCCCGTGCAGATTTGCGCGACAGTCCAGCAACAGGTGGAGTGTCTCATCGACCAGGCCACGGATCCAAACCTGGTTGGACGAATGTGGATTGGCTGGGCCCCTTGGGTATAGGGATCAGCAAGTTGCCAAAATATTGCCCGGCATGGATTCGGTACGAAAGTAAACAACAAGAGCAGGCGGGCCTTTCGTTACGATTATCAGTCCGCTAACCGGTACCTACTTGTCTGGCAAAAAGTCTACAGTGTGTGCCTTCCTACAGGTGTTGAGCGCTCGACCATCTTCGATCTAATCTTCAACTCTCGTACTCGATTGGCTTTCAAGTTTGTCGATCTATCAGGATTGGCTTTGGGGTCTGTGGGCCTTAGCCGCTTACGTTATCCGGGCCTCGCCGACCGAGTATTCGGAACATCATTCGGCTCAACTCAGTTGCACTGAAGTCACGTAAAGCAATCTCAGGACCATGTTTGGCTGCCTTGGCATGAAGCCAAGCGTCAAACTCTAAACCGTCCTTCATTGCCGCAATGATGTTCTAAGAGACCATCGGCTTTGCACGAATGGGAATTCCGGTCCGGCCGCCGGTGTAGCTGGGCCGCACAAGCGCTGGCCAACCGGGCGTTCGGGCCCGGTCTTAGCTAGAGAGAGTCGCTTATGATAATATGTACAGTCCTCCCCCGTGGACCCCGGGTTCAATCATGCAAAGCTAGACAGTACGTTGAGAGTTGCAGTTTTGAGTAGCCGGGTATACTGTCGGAGGGGATCGCGGTAAAACTTGAAATTCACTGAGACTAGTGGGAAGTTGTTGAGAATAATTCAGTGATGAAAGACGTGATGCATCACGTATTGTTTCGCGGGCAGGCGCAGCAATGGAAGACGCGGTGCTGAGTCATCATCAGCATTTTTCCTTGGCGGCCGCTCTTCCGACCTCGTATGGATATTCCATGATCTACCATTGGAGCTGGCCTCTAGGTCTATATATCCACATGCGTGATTGTGTTGGGGCCGCCCATGTAGACTACTCACCAGGTAGACCCCGTTCAATCAATTAATATCTTGCGAAACCTTGGCGCCGAACCTGCAACTTAATAAGTCCCAGCTATACATTCATCCACTTTAAAAGCTCGTGTATTCAGACTCGTCAAGTTGGCATGGAGCCAAGTACCGTAGGTTTCGCAACTCAAAATACCTTTCAAAGCCTCTCAAGGTCATCTGGCAAGTAAAGAATAATCCAAATGTAGTATCACCAGTTCTACTTTGCCCAACAAAGCTGGCAACGGCTGCTCCTCCCAAAATGCAAACTGAGTTCTGCGCATCGAAGCTCTTCTGCCGCTAGCTCTCTGAGCGCGACTGCGCCGCAAGCCCGACCCGATTATGAATGAAAGCAAATCACTGTAGCAACTTTTGACTAGTAATGTAAAGTCTGCGCTAGGGAGCTGTGCGTCTCTGAATGCCCTCATTAGCGAACTCAAGCTCTACCTTCTTGCGCCAAGCTGTCTTTAAAGAACGTTGAAGTCTACTTTAACAAACGAATGTCTAAAACGGAGCAGTGTTGTCACGGCTTGATGCCGCGAATAAAAAGCACCACGCGTGGCGCCTGCAGTACAGTATTTCCGCAGCAAATAATGGCCGCTAAACTATGGTACAAAGCAACTTTGTTGTCATCTCAACCCCTGGGAGCCATCAATCGAAACCCGAGCTTCTCAAGCATCGGTGTTCCCTAGCAAATCTGCAACGCGGCAACTCAACCAGGCTCATCCCCGCTCTACCGGCGGTCTCTTCGCATCCACTTCCTAAAACTTTGTCAACCCGGGGCCCCCGCAGAAATAAATATCATAATTCGCCTGCGCGCAGGCAAACAGGCTCTTGTTCGCGTCGTCGTAAGCGTACGAATACGCGAGCGGGCACGCCTGCTTATGGGCGGTCGTATACGCGTCCGGATGGACGGCGATGCACGCGTCGGCGTCGATATACTTCCCGATGCAGCAGTACTTGTCGAGGTCGGGGGAGGACTGGAACTCGGGCGCCGCGCACGCGTTGTAGCACCCGATCACGGCGCCGTTGGAATCCTTTTGCTGGAGCGGCGCGGGGCAGTTGTTTGTGGCCACGATGTCGTACTCGCAGCCGGCGGTGACGCAGCTCGAAACGGACGGAGCGATCTGCACGGAAACGGAAAGCGTGGAGTAAGTGCAAGGGTTGCGAAGAACACGGTTCGGTAGTTGGTCGAGATTAGACGGAGACGAAGGCTGCGGGACGGTGTGCCCAAATCTCGAAAGCCATATGAGGAGAAAAAGTATTGGACCCACGGGGTTACGAGTTTGCTATGAGTAGAACAGAGGCAATGACGTAATCAGCAGCAACGTCTCCTGATAGCTTAGCAAACAGTCAGTTGCAGATGTTGTTGGATCCAACCGGCGATTCAGCAGCGTAAGAGCCGAAGATCAACATCCTCAGGAGTCGGCCCACAAGGGAGGGATGTCAAACGCTGAAGGCCCTCGTTCCCTTTCAAATATTGCCGCGTAACTTCGCAGTTCTTCGGATTGGAGCATCAATGGATCCAGATCTGTCAAAGCTTGGGGGAAGCTTCTTGAGCATCTGGGAGGGATTTCTTGAGATTCCGGATGATCCAAGCTGAGACACGTCTCCAGCTTCGAAAGTAAAAGGCTGCACATCACTGACTGGAAAAGTCTGAAGTGCATTTCAAGCAGTCAGTCGCGTTCTAGCACCCTCACCTGCATCGGCAGGTTGAACCCGTCCACCACGCTGACGTCATAAAAGTCGAGCCCTCCCCACTGGGTCATCGCGAACTCCGCCAGCGTCGCGGGGGGGGTCCCCGTCACACCGAATCTGCACGTCACCCCGTCGCAGTCCGCCGTCCCGCATCTGAAGGGATCCCCCCCGCACTTGGTACGACCCCAGATGCGCCCGATCCAGTTGTTGTCGGTGTAGTATGCGGCGCTGCCCCCCGGGGGGAGAACGGGGCTGGCGGGTTCGGTCAGGAGGTTATGGCCCGGGGTCGTGTGAGCGGCGAGCCAGATGGTCTCGGAGCAATTGTTGTGGACGGTGATCGTGCGGCTACCTGTGGGGAGAGAATTGAGAAGACGTTTCCGGGGCTGTTTGGCAGGAGGGTTTGGGGGTTGCTCTGAAAGAGGAGGTCGCAAAATGGGGCTGTTTGACAGGAGTCTTGAGGGTTTGCTCTGGAAAATGTGGTTTCAAACCGGGGCTGTTTTGGCACGACTCTTGGGGTGTTCGCTTAGTAAGAGGGGGTACAAAAAACGGGGTATAGCAAGGATAAACTTGAGGGATTGGTTTGTGTGGAGGGGAAGGAAGACGAGTACGCTGCAAAGTCTCTTCAGAAAAACGAGCAGATGACTTCGTCTGATGGACCTAAGATTTGAGAAAGGAGGTTTGGGAGAAGAGGGGGCCGGCTTGCGGATTAGAAGAAGTGCTGCTTAGACAGATGTGTACGCGACAAGAGTGACACGCAGGAAGGGAAAGGTTTGAACTTTGGATGCTCGCCGGTTACAGAGGGGGAAGATGTAAAGGAAAGTGTCTTAGTAGATAGGGTGCCAGTTGAAAGAGGTTCTGAGGTTGGGGTTTTGGATGGAAACGTTGCTGAGGGAATTGTTACTAAGGATTTGTTGCTGAAAAATTGGTGGTCGAAGCACACAACGCTACTGGCCCCGGACTGTGAGGGCAGCTTTCTGAGCCACAGCATACAAAGCTGCTTCAGTCCTCATTGTAGCAGGCATTGGGGGTGCTAGACATGACGTCACAATTGCTCTGACCTGTAGTTTGATCACCAGACCCAAGGGGACTGTAAGCTCGAGCGGGAGTTGATGTAAGGTCCTAGAATAGTAGGTACAGAGTTTTGTGGTCGTTTGCGAGGTGCCTTGATGTGTGGGAGTTGTGAGTAAGGGCTGTGCTGAGAAGAGGAAGGGCCAGGGGGGATGCCTGAAGGCCAGATCTTCAAGCAGAATGGCAAGAGCGCGATCATTGTTCCGCTCAGACTACCTGTTGCTACCACAGATGTTGAAACAGACTCTCAGTGGATAGCTTTTCTGCTGTGGACTGCAATACAATGAACGAGACAATGACTCAAATCCATCACAAAGGAGGGATGTGCACATAAGTTGGAAGAAAGTTGTTCAAGAAAGTGAGACTCCTGGGTATCCTGCCAAGCCTCGGGTGCGTTGACTGCATACGATCTTGCTGGCGGACAATCAATAACTTGGGCTGATGCGGACTTGCGGTGGCATCTTTCCTGACACAGCTTCTCTCAAGCGCGTAAACTTTTTGCGTCCAGAACTGACTGTCCCGCCAAGGTTAATACCAACTACCTTCCCAAATTTTCCAACTAATAAGCCCTTGACCGGTCTTCTTAACCGTGCAAGTATGGTTCAATCACAGGTTTCCAGAGCCCACGAACTCGATGACCAAGGCTGCTAACCCACAAACCCAAAGCTTTGACACCATTGGCCAGGGGACTCGACTGACTGGATGATCAGGCTCACCCGCAAACCCGCCATTCCCAAGAGGCAAACCCACCTTGTAAGAGTGCGCGTCCTGGCCTGGCGTCAGCCACAGAGAGCAGAGCTGACACCGTGAGTGCCGCCGCCACGAGAACCTTCATCTGCGCTGCCATCTTGGTTCAAGAGAAGCCCTGTAGTTGGAGAATGTCAGCCGATTGATATCAGTGGAGGCACTTTGAATGGATCCTTGAAAGCTAGAGGGACCTTGGGAGTGAAAGAGAGACAAACAGCATCCGATCTGGGAGCATCCCAATGCAGGTAATGTTGAATGCATCGCCCTTGAAATTGTGAATGAGATATTCATGACAGATACAAAGTTAAGTCCTCCGTAAATGGGTGAATGCCCAACCATAGCCCAATGAGATTCAGGAAAGAAAGGCTGAAAACTGCCTTTTCGATTATGAGCCCTTCGGTCTCTCTTTCAAAGACGCTTGTGGTTCAAGCAAGGGCCTTCACCAAATGTTGTACGCCAATCAGTGCGCAGCGCCAATTTTACAGGGGGGTTGTGTAGTCCTTGATTGAATCAAAGCCTGCTCCCATCATCTTTCCTTGAATCCCTCAATTTGTTAGAACCTTGGAGCAAAGACCGCAATGAAACTTTCGCAGCCCACACAAGCTGGCCAAATCCAATCAATGCAGGATACCCGTGCCTGAAAAGCTCCTAAAAGCAGCAGCATTGGCTAATAAGCGCCTGGCGCCTCAAACTGACAGCATTGGCGCCGCGGGGGGCAAAACAGCAAGACACAATGTGGGGACCAAAGGAAATCAGCTAGTCGTTAAACAGGGCTCATTGGATCGGCACCTATTGGACAGGTGTCGGTAATCGATCCCAAGGAGGCTTGCACTGCTAGAAAGTGCGCCCTGGTTGGTTGACGCCAGACAGAAGAAGGTGGTCAACCAAATGCCACCCCATTAAAATGTTGTAGAAAATCCAGAAGCACCACCGCTTGGATGGAGTTGCACTGATAGGCGCAACAGCCCCTCAGATTCGGAAGCAGCAGCAAGAACATTCCCGCAAAACATGAATGGCCCACCTGGAATAGCTCCCGGTGTCAATGAGCTGCTTGGTTGCCCCTCCGAGAATGGCCCACAAGAGTCGAGGTGAAGGTGCCGGCCAAAGGGCTGCAGCTTGGTAAGTAAAGGGAGCAGAAGGAGAAGGTTTTGAGGAGAAGATTGGAATGTGGGCTCTTGGAAACCCACATTGTTCCTTATCATTGGGCTTGTGTTGATCTCCCTCTCCAGATCCATTTTCAGTTTACAGGGAAGGAATCTACATAGACTGCAGTCTGATACTAGGTACGGTAAGTTTATTGCAGGCAATTGCAATGCCTAAACTAGAGTCTGAGTACAGTGATGCAGCGATGGTGTAGACATTAATGAAGATGTTCTCATTGCTCTACCGGTACAAGCGTGTCCCATGACTGCTGAAAAACATGGAACTGGAATCGCATCCCTAAAAGGGTGCCGACTGCAGTGAGGAGCGTCTCGAACTGGCCCTCTCAACCGCCCGAACTGAGCTTATTTCGTTGCGCCCCTGAAAACGACAAAGCTGCAACTGAATCTTCTGCGGAAACAACCTCAGCTGATTGGCAAGTTGCACCAAGTATCCCGCCACATCAGGAACTCATATGCGCTCCACGTTGCGACGTGGGCGGGGCGGCAACCGATTTATCAGGGAGAAAGGGTTTGGAGGTTTCTGTTTTGGCGACAGCGGCATATGATGATACGCGTGACGCCTTGCCGGACCCCTTGCCGGCCCCCGGGACGCGCGGGTACAATAGCC